TATCTACTCTTTACCCTCTTATCTCACTACCGTTCTATCACAATTTCTCACTTGTTTACATTCCACTGGTCAAAATGTGTGCCATTTTGAGGCAGATCTAGTGTGCACTCATCACACTTTCCATTTACCCCTGATTATGCCGACTACGCTGCCGGCGAAACGTTTGAGAATGTACCAATTCCACTGTCTGATGCTGGGAATCATGACACCTACTATGGCAGACGACTTCGAACTAGGTGCGTTCTACTAAGTTGCCCTGACAACAAGACCAAGTTTCGACAACGAGGTCAACCCATTTCTATAAATGGAAAGAAGACTGCGACCATACCAGAGGCCACGACATCTTGGTCGTCATATCTTCAATTTTCCATTTTTATCTATTTTCCTGCATCATTTACACCTAATTGCTTCAAGGACATGTGAATTCACTGACTCTGACAACACTTTGGTTCCATCCTTCTGTCTCGCTTTCTTTCAGAGTCCGGATCGTCCGAGTTCACTTCGCATCATCCAGCCGCTTGCCTGCGCGCCGGTCCCGTCCGTCAGGCGGCGCACACCCTCGACATGGCTCGTCGTGAACAATCCGGCCCAGGACACAGCCCGTTGGCACCATCCACGCTGGAACGGTCGACCTGCAGGCAACCGATATTCGGACCACGTCCCATCACGAGAGTCGGACCGGAACGGTCAATGTCTCTCATGCATACCGGTTGCCTCAGTCGAGACTTTGAAGGCAGGGCCGTCGGCAGCAGCGGGATTAACAACAGAGCCAGAGGTCGATTTTGCGGTGGCGCTGGTGATGAGGGAAGAGATAGAGGACGGATTAGTCCAAGCTGGACATGGGAATGCACCGGCGGCCAGGCTCCGCCGCCGACACCGGCCGAAAGGGTCGACGATCCGATGGAGGAGTTCGTCGCGTGCGAGAGTGTAGCTTTGTCTGGCGTACAGTTGCTTCCGTCAGCCGGCGAGTCAGGCAAAATCATACTGTCGCATTCACTGAGCTGGTAAGACACCTTTTCTCTGTTCTCGTGACAGTTCTTCTTGACTAGCGTTCTCTGCCGGTATGCAATAGCTGCACATTAGGCGTTTCATTGTGTGTATTCTGTGACTTCTGGTTCGCCTATTCTGCTCGCCCTCGCCATTCAGTTTTGATTAAATAAAGATTGTGTCATGGACAATATTTGCCGAGGCTTAATCTCCGTCTCATTTAACACGCTCCCATCATTCTCGAACCAGACAGTAAAACCCATTTCAAGCACATGCTGATACCTGAAAAGTCGCTTTATCAAAAAAAACCAAGACTCAAGTAATAGGGATGCATAAAACAGTTTGACATTTCATTTATTAGAGATTATAGGCGTTTTCGCGGGCGATAGATATTCGAAATTTGATAACCATTTTCCATTCCAAGCTGTACTCAGCTGTTCGGCTTGTTTTGCACGAGGGCTTCAACTCCAAATATTAAGGAACGATGAAGATGTCATGATTGGCTAAACATTCTGACCGTCTGTTCAAGTTGAGCTGACTTGTAATCGTGCTTCTTATCTGCTTTGTCTTCTCAACAAGCAGTTTGTTGGGATTATACTTTTATTCGTAATTTTAAGCAAATCTGCTCGCAAAGTGGCAGCCCATTTAGGCGATCGTCCAAGAGGAATTCACCGTCGTCTTCTGGTAGAGTTGACCTACTAATCTATTAATCACAGATCATTGCACAAAACTGGAATCAACTCAAACAGGCGTCTAAGCGGTGCATTAGAATGGTGTTCTGCCTATGACTAGACCGTATTTGTGGGCAAAACTGTTTGCTGGTACAGAATCTGATGATATTTATGAGGAAGACTTCCACAATTTTTTTATCTTTTAAATTTCCATCAACTAGCCCTCTAAATGTAGGCCTTCTCTTGACTTCAACATTCTGATACTGGGTGTCCTTCGTAAGCATAAAACCGCTAAAAACGCTAAACATTTTTTTAGTGAACCGAGTGTTTTAACCAGTTCGCTGCCCACGCAAGCTTAAGTGTTCCCTTTCTCCATGTTGTTGACACGATAATTAATTAGCCCTTTTGGCGGTCTCACGAATTCGCCTATTCGACTATGATAATTGCTAAAGACTACCCATTAAACTTTATAAACAAGCCCAATCTATTCCCGTTTAACAATGAAAAATATTTTGATCTGGCTAGAAAATCCATCTTCATTGGGTTGATTTTTGAAGAGGGTCTCAATGTTTCAAAGAACGAATAGTATCCTGATCCAATTTAATGAAACGCAAGATTGCTTTTGTTGTTGTAGACTACCAGAATTGTTCCGTGTTTTGCCAGAAACTGAATTTACACTTTTGCCTACTTCAACGTAGATACTAAGAGAAACTTGTGCCGATGAATCTTCTGAGATAACATTGTTAGGGGAACCTTCATTTTGTATAAAAGTGCATGAAGATGAGATTCGTTGGCCGGTCTCACTAGATAAGGACGGATGAATCTCGTTGTACTGCAGCCGGTTAGCTTTTATATGATATTCATGTCGGCGTAGTCCACGCGACTTCCTCTCTCGTTTCGGGTGAAAACGTGCTGAGCTTTCGTCCATCATATGACGGACATCATCGGAGCTGGGTTTTCTTGTTGTAAAAGGCTTTCGCTAAAACTCGTCCAAGAAGACTATCCGGCCTTATCTTACCTCTTATATATAGACTTAGTTACTCTAAAAGAAAATTAAAAATTAAAAACCTAGATGCATATAGAGTGGTTTGGCTAATTATCTTTCATACTTGTATAGGCGCTAACACACACACATGCATACACTCGAGCAAAAGTAGCAGGACAACTATGAAAGATAATTAGCCAAACCACTTTATATCCATCTAGGTTTTTAATTTTTAATTTTCTTTTGGCGTAACTGTGTCTATACAAAAGGTAAGATAAAGCCGGATAGTCTTCTTAGACTAGTGTTAGCGAAAACCTTCTACAAGAATGAAACCCAGCTCTGATGATGTCCATCATATGATGGACGAAAGCTCAGCACGTTTTAACCCGAAACGAGGGAGGAAGTCTTGGGGACTGCGTCAGCATAAATATCGTATAAGAGCCAAACGGCTGCAGTACAACGACTTTCATCCGTCCTCATCTGGTGAGACCGACCAACGAATCTCTTCTTCATGCACTTTCATACGAAATGAAG